AGGCAATCCACTCACCTCAGCCTCTCAAAGGCGCGGGATTACAGGCTAAGCCACCAAGCCCGGCTTGTTTTTGTTTTTGTTTGGTGTCTCTGTCACCCAGGCTGGAGTGCAGTGGCACGCTCATGGCCACCACAGCCTTGACCTGCTGGGTGATCCTTCCACCTCAGCCTTCCAAGTTGCTGGAACTACAGGCGCAAGCCACCATGCCCGGCTTACACTAATGTTTTTAAATAATATTTTTAATAAAGAAGAGGCCTGGCTATCTTGCCCAGGGTGGTCTCGAACTCTTGGGCTCAAGCAATTCTCTCACCTCAGCCTCCCAAAGTGCTAGGATTACAGGCATGCGCCACCATGGCCAGCCCACATTTACTAATTTTTTAATAGCTTTATTGAGATAGAATTTACGTATTTAATTAGGCTATTTAAAGTATACAGTCTAATTTTTTTCATATTCACTAATTTTGAAATTTTACTTTATCTGTTTTAAGACTAGTCAAGTGCAGTCTTTTTCCATCTTTATTATGTGTGTGTATGTATTTTTCCGAGCTGTTTGAGAGTAAATTGTAGGTATCATATGCCTTTATCGCTATAGATTTCAGCATGTTTCTGAAGAACAAGGACATTATCTTACGTAACTATAGTGCAGTTGTAAAATCCAAGAAATGTTATCTAAGATACAGTCCATAGGTTTTTTTTGTTTTGTTTTGTTTTGTTTTAATTGGAGTCTCACTCTGTCACCCAGGCTGGAGGGCAGTGGCATGCTCCCAACCACCACAACTCAACCTGCTGGACTCAGGCGATCCTTCCACCTGAGCCTTCCACGTAGCTGGAACTACAGGCACACACCACCATACCCAGCTAATTTTTTAAATTTTCTGTAGAGATGAGGTCTCACCAAGTTGCTGGTCTTGAACCCGTGGGCTCAGGTAGTCCTCTCACTTCAGTTTCCCAAAGTGATTATAGGCTCGAGCCGCTGCGCCCGGCCCATGGTTAGTTTTCACTAATTTTTCAGTAATGCCCCTTATAGCAACATTTCTCCCAAGCCAGGGTCACATGTATTTGTTGTTAGGCCTGGTTGGTCTTCTATCATCTGGGAACAGTTCTCGGTCTTTCCTGGCTTTCATGACACTGCAATTTTGGAAGAGTACAGGTCCACTGTTTTGTAGACTGTCCCTCAGTTGGGGTTTGTCTGATTTTTGTTTTCCCCATGATTAGATTTAGGTTTTGTATTTTATCTTTATCTTTATTGAGATGAGAGTAACAATAGTAGCTACCTAATGGAGTTATTGTCCAGATTAAATTGATCATGGAAAAAACACACAACAGTGCTGGTATGCAGCAGCAAGGGCCCCATAAAGGAAGACTGTTGTTAACGTTGGGGGGAGGGGCCGGGGTATGAAGCTTATAAACAAGGTAAGCAGGGCTGGGAGGGAGAATCACTTCCCGTCATGTAGCCCGGGAGAGGCTGGCATGAGACCCAAGCGAACCTGAGCATTGTGTAGGGTGCATGCTGAGCTGCTGAGGTCATTTCTGCAGAGGTGCCCGGGGGGCTGACAATCTCTGAGCATTTCCCTGGCCCTGACACTGGCTGATCCAGCCAGGCCCCGCCTTTCTGACTGGGTGCGTTGCCTGCATCCTTGTAGCTCTTCTACCTTTTCTCCCCTCAAAACCAGGTACTTCAGAGGCTCATCAAGTCCCGAGGGAAGTCTCAGTCCAAACACCTCAACGTCCAAATAGCAGCCTCAGAGAAGCTGGCACAGTGTCCCCCGGTGAGTGCCTAGATTCCGGGGAAGGGGAGGGAGGGAGGGCTTTGAGTCGTCCTGGTTTCCTCTGGCCTGCATGGGAGACAGAGTGACCAGGAGCACCTGAGCCAGGTCCGTAGGCGCAGACAGGTCTTTGGGGAAAGAGGCACGGGCCGGGGCCGTCAGAGACTGGGTTCAGGTATTCCCCCTTCTCAGTCAAGACCCCCTCTAGCCTTGGTTGCCTTATCACCAGACTGAGGGAGTTGAACTGAGTGCCCAGACCTCATGCAGCTCTGCCAGTGTTTATATCTGAGTTCGCCCTTCCTCTCTCCCTCCACATCCAGAGGCCTCTTTTTAACCTTGTCCTTCAACCCCTTGACTCCACCCACTGCACCCAGGCCACACCCTCAGCCCCCTTGGTCACGCCCCTGCTCATCCCGGCCCCGCCCCTAACCCCGCCTCCATAGGAAATGTTTGACATCATCCTGGACGAGAACCAATTGGAGGACGCCTGCGAGCACCTGGCTGAGTACTTGGAAGCCTATTGGAAGGCCACCCACCCGCCCAGCAGCACGCCGCCCAATCCGCTGCTGAACCGCACCATGGCTACCGCGGCCCTGGCTGCCAGCCCTGCCCCTGTCTCCAACCTCCAGGTACAGGTGCTCACTTCGCTCAGGAGAAACCTCAGCTTCTGGGGCGGGCTGGAGGCCTCGCAGCGGGGCAGCGTGGCGCCCCAGCCGCAGGAGCCCGCCATGTAGAGGGTGCCCCGTCCATCTTCCCGCCCAGGGCTCGGAACTGGAGTGCAGGGACTATGGGGAAGGAAAGGAAGAGCTTTATTTTGTAAAAAATGTGGTGAGCGGCAGCGTCTGGTGTCTGGTTTTTTTATGGGACTGGGGCTGGTTGCTTCCCTGGGCCTGGTTCCATAGGACTACATCTGCCACCCGGAATATGAGGTCTGGTGGGGGCCCTTAGAGGACCGGGGATTAGGAAAGACATAAGGGGAAGGCTGACACGCTCATTCACTGGACTCCGCGTTCTTTTCAGACCCGACAGAGCAGCGGCCCTCAGACCCAGGAAACCCACAGAGCAGGGCCATTAAACCCAAACTGCCCCCCCCAGCCCTAACCCCAGGAGGGGTCTAGACTTTTTCTGTGACTTGATGCTGTTCCTGCCTCCCTTTTCCCACTTAAACAGAGTCCAGGAAGGGCCCTCCTGCAGGTGCCCTGTCACCCTCCTCCCATAGGACCTATGGCCCCTGTCGGAGACCACCCCACTAAGTAAATGATTCTAGGTTAGAGCCAGAAGAAACCCATGACATCATTCTAGACTGTTGGTTTCTAAATTTGTCTTCAGCAACAGCCCTTTCGATCACGGAATCGTATGTGGAAGCTGAGTGTAAGATAAAGCGTTCTTGCTCAGCCTGGAGGGAGCTGGGGGCTCGGCTTCCCCTTCACCTCCATGGGGACCCTTGACACACTTCTGTGCCCTCTCTGCCTTGCTCCAGGTCTCCAGGGAGCAGTTTAGAAACTGCTGCTTAAGTCTTATCCCCATCAACCGGGAACTGGACCACAGAGAGGGGACTCATTTGCTCAGGGTCATGCAACTTGAAGTGGCAGGGGAGGGGCTAGAACCCAGGCCTCTCTTTGTGCCCCACCCAGCAGCCTCCACGGTGGCAGTGGGTACCAGCTCACCTCCACTTGGCATTTGGTGATGAGGACATTGGGCCACCTCATCATCTCCAATGGGGGAGGGAGGCCATCAGCCCTCCCCAGCCCGCTGCTTTGAGTGCTTGTTGGGGGCAGGGTGGAATCCCATCAACCTTGGGGACTGTCATCTGACTAGGAAATGGAGAAGCACAGACTTCTGGAAGCCTGTGATTGGGGTCTGGAGAAGCCAGAGTCAGCAAGTTTGAGCTGAAATTCCCCCCCCCCCACCTTTTTTTTGTTTTGAGTCAGAGTCTTACTCTGTTGCCCAGGCTAGAGTGCAGTGGCTCACAGCCACCACAGCCTCGACCTGCTGGGCTCAGACAGTCCTTCCTCCTCAGCCTTCCAAGTAGCTGGAACCACAGGCGAGTGCCACCACGTCCGGCTCATCTTTTGATTAATTGTAGAGCCAAGGTCTCGCCAAGTTGCCCGGGCTGGTCTCGAACATGTGTGCTCAGACAATCCTCTCGCCTCTGCCTCCCAATGAAATCCCTTCTTAATATGTTTGGAAAACTAGAGGCAGTGACTAACCCACTCGGCCACTAACGAAAGGCGGGACTAATGAGCAGTTAATGATAATTAACCCCGCCAGTGCTTTAATGACATGTGCAGAGAAATGGTGACTAACTCATGGCTGCCTGCCCTGGTCATCCTGAGCGCCCACGTGTCCTCTGGGCCTGGGGAGGCTGGGCTCCCCCTGTGGGTACAGAGGAGCAAATGTCCTGAGGTCTGTGCTCCGCCTGGGCGCTAGAGCCATTTGCCCTGGGTCCCCACCAGAGCTGGCACCCTCTCCTCCAGCCGGGCTGGGTGTCTGGGCGCTGTCACTAACCTGCCTCGCTTTGTTGTGTTTTCTCACCCTCGCCTGATCTGCATGGTGTGTGCCGTCCGTCTGTCTGCTAACCAGGGACCCTACCTTGCTTCCGGGGACCAGCCGCTGGAACGGGCCACCGGGGAGCACGCCAGCATGCACGAGTACCCGGGGGAGCTGGGCCAGCCCCCGGGCCTGTACCCCAGCGGCCACCCGCCAGGCCGGGCAGGCACCCTGCGGGCTCTGTCCCGCCAGGACACGTTTGATGCCGACACCCCCGGCAGCCGAAACTCTGCCTACACGGAGCTGGGAGACTCGTGTGTGGACATGGAGACTGACCCCTCTGAGGGGCCGGGGCTTGGAGACCCTGCAGGGGGTGGCACCTCCCCAGCCCGACAGGGCTCCTGGGAGGACGAAGAAGAAGACTATGAGGAGGAGGTGACCGACAACCGGAACCGGGGCCGGAGCAAGGCCCGCTACTGCCCCGAGGGCGGGGGTCCCGTTCTGGGGCGCAACAAGAACGAGCTGGGGGGCTGGGGGCGAGGCGTCTACATCCGCTGAGAGGTCGGGGCGCGCCGTGGGAAGGGTGACCTGGGCGGGGGGAGGGACGGGGACCCCCCCCAGGTGGATCTTGCCTCCGGGGTGGCGCCTCCCTCCTTTCAGATGCCTTTTGCTCACCATTTGGGGTTTCTCTGTATCACCCAGCTCCCAGAGGCCCTTAAGCCCCAGCTGGAGGTTTTTACCTGCCTTCGGTGGATGGATGGCGGGATCCCCACCTTCCCAAAGTGTCCCCTTTCCCCCCATCCTTGGGGGCTCACCCCATTCCCCTTCCTAGAAAAAAGGTGCACTTCACCCCTTCCACTCGGGGCCTGAGTGGGCTGGCCCTTCTTTTCCCAACCTGAAGTGTTTGGGAAGGGTTGGCGCTCCCTTCTCCCAGCTTCCTGGCAGCGTTGTTGGGTGGGTGAGGGCCACGGCATGGAAACCCCTGGGGACACTGTCTTGGGGAGGGGTCTGGGTGGAAACCAGGAGGCGTCAGACACGGCACCTTCTCCCCATGGCCATGGCCAGCAGGGCCCAGAACCCTGAGATGTGGGCCCCTGAGATGCTGCCTCCGCCCCGCCACCCCCTGCCTCAGCCTTCACCTGCCCCAGGAATGAGCTTTGCTGACCACATCCCCTGCCTGCTGCCATCAGAAGAGGGGGCCCCTCTGCATCTGAGCCCCCGTCCCCATGCCGCCTGGGAGGGGAGCCCACGGAACTCTGGTCTGCCTCATCTTAAACCAAAAACTGCTCCTTCACCCCCACCCTGAGGCTCCAGGGGAGAGGCCCTGTGGGTGGGTGTGTGCCACTCCAAGGGTTGCCTCAAGCCTCGGCTCTCCCCTGGGGGGTTTGGCTGCTGCTGCTGCTCCGTCCTTGCCTCGTGATTCTGTTACCCGCGTCCACTTTCCCCAGGAGAGACCTTGGTACCCCCGCTCCCCTGGGGTGTTCCTCTGCCTCAGTGTCCCGACAGCCCAGCAGCCCTGCCCCTCTCCAGCATCCCAGCTGGGTCCGAGAGAGCCGATTGTGCCAACGAGGACTGGGCCCTGCCCGGCTGCCCGCCTCAGGGATGGGCACCTCATGCCTGTCTCGCCACCTCTTGTGCCAATGTTGTCCCACCCCCGCCGGGGGGTGGGGTGCAGTTTCCACTTACTGATGAGAAGACACCACTGCCCAACACTATTCCTCCCCGTCTGGTGTCCTGTGTCCCCTCTGGTGTCCCCTCTGTTGTCTGTCTGTCTGTCTGTACTCCCCTAGGAAAAGTATTTTGCCATTATAAAACCGCCGTCCTGTCCTTTGTGGTCGCCTCCCAAGCCTGCTTTGTTCTCGCCATGTAGCTGCCCGCCTGGCACGCGGGAGCCGCCCACATGCAGGTGCAGTGGGTGCTGGAGGACTGGGTTTGGGAAGAGGCTGTGCCCTGATGTGGCCTCTGATATGTCATGTCCAAACAGGAGCTGCTTGGCCAGTCTCAGCTCCTCATTCAGCCCTGAGCCCCATGCCTTGCCAAGCAGAGCCAGGGACAGAGGAAACGGGTATTATCCCATGAATGAGGTCAGACCTACCAATGCTGTGTCAGAAAGGTACGTGGTGACTCACATCTGTAATGCCAGCACTTTGGAAGGCCAAGATGAGAGGACTGCCTGAGCCCAGGAGTTCGAGACCAGCCTGGGCAACTTGGCGAGACCGCATCTCTACAATAAATCAAAAACATTAGCTGGATGTGGTGGTTTACATCTGTAGTTCCAGCTAGGTGGAAGCAACACCTGAGCCCAGCAGGTTGAGGCTGTGGTGGCTGTGAGTGTGCCACTGCACTCCAGCCTGGGCGACAGAGAGACTTCGATTCAACAAAAAAGGAAGAAAGGCACACGCTTATTTCTCTGTTCCTACGGCCTTGTTGCTCCTTAACACCTGTAGAAGGAGCTGAGCTCCTGGCTCCATGAATGCACCCCTGCTCTTGCTAGGCAGTTTTGGGGATGCAGAGGTGGTGTGCTTGTTTTGGGGGGAGAGAAAATCAGGGACTCCACCATTCCCAGACGGAGCGTGGTGAGAGGAAGAAAGTCAGCAGGTGGCGGTGCCCATTCTTGCCCTATCCAGCTGCAGGATGGGGATTCCTGACAGTCGTTCTGCGGCCCCCTGCGGCCCTGCCTCACAGCACCTGCAAACCGTTTCCCACCTCCCAAGTTCTTGTTTCCGGGCTGGTGGCCCTGAGGACCAGAGTTCTTGGGCTCTTCATCTGAATGCTCAGGCCCTACGTATGAGAGAGTATGTGTGTGTGTAGGGCAAAGCCATCCCCTGAGATCCTCCAGATAAGTTTGGGGATCAAAAGGAGGAAGAACTGAGCGGGCCAGAAGCCAAGCAGCTGACCCGCTCCCCTGGGAGTGTGCTCCCACTGCCTTTCCACGACGTTGCTCATTCCTGTGTTGATTCATTGAACAAACACTTATTGAGCACCTCCTGTGTACCAGGCACACGTCTCAGTGTCGGCCACAGATCATTGCAGTGCAGCACAGTGGGCTCCACGATATACTGTGGGAACCTGCAAAAGGAGTTGCTCCTTACCCTGGGGGAGGACAGGAGAGGCTTCCTGGAGGTGAGGCTTCAGCAGCTTCTAGAAGCGTGGTTAGGAGTTAACCCAGGCGATATGCGGGGGGAAGTGTCCAAAAAAGCAGGAGATATGCATGCCACATCTTTGATGCCTCACCTCACTGTCCAGCGAGGAATTGGAAAGAGCGGGTCACAGGGGGCTTGAGCCACATCAAGGAGTTTAGACTTTGTCCCAAACTGGGAGCTGGTGTGCAGACACGGAGGGATTGTGAGTAGGGATGGTGAGATTGCCTCCGTGGTGGATTGGAGCCTGTCCTGGAAACAGCTGCCACCTCCACATGGGAGAGGAGGCTTTGCCTGAGGCCATTAGAAAGGGAGGGTAGCCGGCTTGGTGGCTCAGTCTGCTGTAATCCCGCGACTTGGGAGGCGGAGGTGAGTGAATTGCCTGAGCCCGCGGGTTCGAGACCTGCCTGGGCAA